AAAAATCAGTCTATTTCTAAATCTAATATATGTCCAATTCATCTTTCATACTAGCTTTATTATTCCACCGAAATTAGTAATTTATATGTTGGGGTAGGGTATCTCATCGATACTATAGAAAACCGAACACCGGTTTAGTTTTAAATCTGATATGTAGAATTAATTTTTTAGTTCTTTTAAATTAATTCTACTGTATAATATTATTACATGCAGAAATTATACAATATAATTATAACGTTAAACTTGCAGTTAGTTGAAATACGGTCTGGATTCATTATAAATGTTCATTATAATTAGCGTCGCTTGGCAATCGCATAATCTATTTTTTTCACTTCCAAGTTAATCTACACGCATAATGTAATTCGTTTTTTAAGATAATTTGTTTCTTTAAAAAAATTAATGAAACCCCTAAAATACGTGAAATAAACGAAAATTAGAAGAAAAGACAAAAAAAAAAAGTCTAAAACTCAAAAAGGGTGTTCAAAAAAAATTTGATTATGAGTCAAGTATCATGGCTCTTTAACGGTAGTAATGCTATAAAATTTAGGGGAATAATAAAGCTAGTATGAAAGATGAATTGGACATATATTAGATTTAGAAATAGACTGATTTTTTAAAATAAAAGAATTTGATAAAAATGTAATAATATCTGTTTCAAAGGCATGCATAAGCAAGACATATGGTTGTTGTGAAGATGTTAAAGGGAACTTGGAAGGCAATAAAGAGTTTAGGCATAATGAGTGTGGACTTCAAATCATTAGAGATTTAAATGGCGTCTGAAGATTTTCCTTCGGGCTTTACTTGATGGGCAAACATTGTTATGCAAATTGGTTGGTTATAGTTAAGTCTTTTTTAATTATAATTTGAATCGAATACCTTCAGTCACGAACGTAATCTCGTGGCATTACCTGGTTCTCGAACAAACGCTATGAAGTTTATAAAAGAAATAAATTATACTTTATTAATGACTATTACGTAATACAGTATTGTTAACAAAGTTGAACTTTATTAATGTCTATTAAATAATACAGTATATTTAACACATTTATTTTACAAGTTTAAAATCAACTGGAATAGAAGACGATATTAAATAGAATCTATTGAAAAATAAGTGATAATAATTATATAGAATTTTAGTGCTCAATAGGTATACTTTGATTCCAATGGAATAAATTATTAGGATCATACTGTCGCTTGATATCCACCAGTCTTTCTAAATTTTCACCAAAGTACCTATGTTCCCAATCATCTAATTCTCTATCATGTAAATTCATATAACTTTCAGAACTA